GCTCTTCCTCACGTGTAAGTAGGAATGTGCCAGTCCTCTGGGAGCCTTGTGGAGCGCTGGCCCAGCTGGAGGGGGTCTTGTTGATGGGTTCCAGCCTAAGTTTGCAAGGAGAGAAAAATCTTATCTCTAGATCAGTGGCTGGTTTTTGAGACCCTGCTCTAAGCAGATCTTAACAGCATTGCTCAGAACAGCACTGTTTATTGAAAACATACCTCAGTCTTATATTTGTGTCTGGTTTCTTCTCCCTGTGCCCCATCTTGTGTAGAGATGTGTGTATCTTCAATGTTTGGGTAATTCATGGGTTTGCTTGAAAAAGGCAGCAATGCAGATAGTGAACAGATTAGTCAAAAATGGTTTTCTTAACCATCTTTCTTGAACTGGTGTCCCTAGTCAGAACTCACATCATCTGTCCTTCCTCCTGTTTCCAGCTGCTCTCTTCCTTCTGCTGTGAGGGGTGATTGTGCACTTCCTTCTTTGGAAGTTCAGTAATTTATTTATAATTTTCCTTTATTTATGGGCTTGTCTTTGAGTGCTTTACCTCTCCATGCAGTCTTGTCAGTAGAAAACCTAACCACTACCACTCAAGCTGAAAGCCTTAGCTCTGGATTTGGAATTGTAACAATGGTAGTATTCTGGGGGCTTAAAGCCTTAACCAGGCAATATCATTATGCTGTGTGGCAGGCTGCAAAAAGTCCATCATTAGGCAACATGAAAAGGGTGAGGACTTTCCTAGACTCGTGGTTGCAGTGGCCGTGATCTCGGGATGTTCAGGATGAGCCCAGTGACTGAAACTCTTCTCCTTTGCCAAAGGGCCCGACGGGCACGTGACACGGTACGGGCTGGAGTGGCTGGTGAAGAACAGCTACGAGGGGCAGAAGCAGCAGGTCATGCACCCGCGGATTCTCTGGAACGCAGACATTTACCAGCAAGCCCAGATCCCATCTGTCGACTGTCGGAGTTTCCTGGAGACGGACGAGGGGCTGAAGGAGTTCCTGCAGAACTTCCTGCTCTATGGGATTGCCTTTGTAGAGAATGTCACCCCTACCAAGGAGGACACAGAAGTCTTAGCAGAGCGGATCAGCTTGATTAGGTAAATGGGGTGTCCCAAGAAAACCCTTGGCAGCTCTCTAGTAAAGTCCCTTCTTGATGACTCTCCATTTTGCTCTTGTTTGGAAAGATGCTCTCCTCAGATCCTGTACACTATGCACTGTGACTTGGCTTGCAAACAGAGAGTCTGGACCTTATACTGTCTTTGGCCAGTCTATTTGAACTGAGATGGGGTTTGCGCTGTGGGATCTGACCTCTTCGGAGGAGAACCTCATAGGATGACATTTTTGGTAATGGGACTATGCATAGAAAAGGGTGACTAAGGGAAGTGGCCTGTCTGGGAAGACTTGGGCTTTGCAAGGACAGACATTTCCTGTTATGCTTTGAAAGGTTAGGAGGGCAGCCCTGGCCCTGGGAGCCAGGGAGATCAAAAACAATTTGTAGCTCGCACTAAAGAAAAATATTGGCCTCTACTGTGATTATTTAAAGCATACCAATAGGATGGCAAGCCTGGTTCTGAGTTTCACATTCCCACCAAACCACTGAAACTTGCCTTAGGCTTTTAGAAGAGGAGGGATTTTTATTAATGGATACTCCCTCCAAATAGAAATAAGATGCTCCAGGGAGTATACAGCCAGCTCTCATCCTGTATCCTCCAAGTACTGTTTATTCCTCACAGTTCCTTGTTTTCCATCTGTTTCCTTTCCTGCACCTCGGAGGAGGGCAGGATTGGAAGCTGAGGATGCTAATAACAAGACCAGGGAACATCAGGCATCCTAGATGGGCACACAAGGCAGGGGAACCTGTGCTCTGGTAACTCCTAATGTCACTCAGTGGTTTCCTTGATTTGACTGACCTCATGTTCCGTGTGGAAAGATGACCTTTATCTTCCCAGGAGAGCAGAGGCTCAATACTATCTGTTGTAACACAGGGGAGGGAAAGCAGTTGAACACTAGAGGAGGCATTAGAGTATCATCTCTTGACATTGCAGTGAGAATTTTGTTGAGTTGGCATGTTGTGCTGCTTTAATTTACTGTCCCAGGGTGGAAGGGAATAACCTGGGATGCAGGAGAGGGTTTGTTTACCCGCAATAATCCCTACAGCAATTTGTGATAACTGCCCCTCTCTTGTAGGGAGACCATTTACGGCAGAATGTGGTACTTCACCTCTGACTTCTCCCGGGGAGACACCGCCTACACCAAGCTGGCTCTGGATCGTCACACTGACACTACGTACTTCCAGGAGCCCTGCGGGTAGGTGCTGTCACTGGTTTGCAAGGGTGATTCACGGTGCTGCGGTTCCGAGCAGCTGCAGCTTCACTGTCTCTAGCATCACTCATGAGATATACACCAGTCACACAGTAATTCTGGATCCTGTTTGATTTCTGTACACTAGGGTATTCTGTAGATCACCTTTTTTTCCTATGCTTTTAACTTCTAGTTCTTCCAGAATACAGGCTAAAAAGGACTTAGTTGCTAGGTAGCTGGCTTCTTGTTTGTACTGCTGTCATATAAGTAGCCTTAGCTACAGAGAAGTCTCAGGGATGTAGTCATTTTTATGCTCTCCTTCTAACATTTACTTAAGTCTTTTCTGTTATCATCCTTCCCAGTCTCCTAGGTGACATGTTGTGTTGGTCTTCACAGAAATAAAACATTGATTTGTTTTTGGGGTACTGATGGCAATCGCAGCTCTAACTGGCCCAGCTTTTCCTGCAGCCAGAGCCCCTTGTTGGCTGTTATACAAAGTTGCTGCAGAAGTTTGCCTAAACTTCATCCTACTGACTTGGGGGAAGAAGCCCTCCTTGCCTGCCTCAGCACTGTATGTTTTACTGGCTGAACAGTTGCCTCTGGGGAAGGAGGGAGAGCAGCTCATGTTGGCAGGGCCCTGCAGTCACTGTCTCTCTGCCCTCCCAAAATTTATGAATGGTACTGACTTGCAAGCTGTCCTTGCATGTCCTTCATTCATTCCACTTCAGCCAAACTGGTTGGGATTAGCTTTTTGGCAGTGCTGCAGATCTGTAGCTAGTTAGAAACCAGGCTGCTTCAACCCTTCAAAGTCCATGCTTGTCAGGGCTTTTAAAGGTTGTAGCTATGACATTGTTTCCAGTATAGTGTGTGGGTTGCAGGTTTTATGCTGACTTGGAGGAAGAAAGGCAGCAGGCCTGATGGTAGCTCACACTGAAGCGTAGAAGACACAGGCTCAATTTTGTGGAGCTAGGGCTGCAAAGGACCAGAGAAGTCACCTTAGAATAAGGTCTTCTCAAGAGAGGCTGGTAAATTGCTAAAAGGCTGAATGTGAGTGGTCTGGGGTGCAGAACTGTGAAAGCAGAGAAGGATGAAGGGAGTGAGATATCTTGGCTGCACGGGGATTTTGGAGCTGCCCTCAGGACCAGGAGAGGTACCGGGACCCAGGTGGCACCCTCAACACGGCCGTCTGCTCAGCCTAGCATGTTGTGAAGCAGCTCGGTCTCAGGAGCGAGGTGTGTTCTAGCACCCTCAGTGAAGCTGGGATTCCAGGCAGAGAGCAGAGGTCCTACCACACGCTTCCATCCAGACCTCGCTGGCGTCCCTGTTGTGAGTGAACCGCGCTCTGCTCGCAGATCCCACATTCTTTCATGGCCTGTGCAATGTTACCTTCTCAGCTGGCTGACTTGAGGAATTTTCTCTCAAAATCTCCCCCAAACCAAATAAGTCATTGGCAATAAAAGTCCCTTTGAAGGTTGAAGTTTTGATTAAACTGGAGTAGACCATTTTTTAGGTGCCTCTACATGAGCGTCACTCTGTCTGTATTTGCTGCAGCCTTCATTAGTATCCATGTTGCCTGGCCCAAGGGAAGGGTTTTGTGCCTTTTATTGGGCTCTTAAAATACAATGGTGGGAGACTTCAGAGAAAATAAACCCATTTCTCAAGTGGAGCCATAGATTTGCATTCCCTTTACTTCCAAAGTTTCCTTAACTGTCCTCTTGTTCTGAGATGATCTGGGGAGTTTAGTTTTATGCTGTTGAACCTCTACATCCTGCTGCCTAGATGGACTTGTGTGCCATATGCCCAGTTCTGCACTCATGCCACTTGATTTAGGAGGCAGTAAGAGTCAGTCCTGTCTTCCAAAGCCAATTCTGGAAGACAACTGGGCTTACCAGGAACTAGGAAAGTATGAACTTGTCCCCTTTACCCCTGCCCCCCTCCAAAAAGGTCTTGGGGATTTTCCCTCATATCACTCTGGGAACAATTTGCTAATAATTGGGGAATAATTTGCTTGGAGCAGCTTGGTCGCAACAGAAATTTTTGTAGTAACTCAGTATTGTAGCATTCTGGTCTTGGTTGCCACCCTGACTGACTGTCCCTTGTTCCTGTTTAAGAACACACAAAACTAATCTTGGAGATTTAGGAAGCTCTTGTTCTGAAGAAAACGATATAGTTTTGTTTTTGTTTTTTTTTTTTTGGCCTAGGCATTAACTCTAACAGCCACTCATAATCTAAGCGTGTAAAGCAATTTAGCTTGTTCTCTGTTCAGGCCAACTCTTGGTGAGAGAAGCTGCATAGCCCCGAACCTGTGAGTTAGCCTGAGTGAACAGCAGGTCCAACTGCTTGCTGCTGGGCAATCTGTTCTCTGGCAGGTCTTATGGTACGAATGGTACTACAAAACAGTCTGCCCTGTCAGAGAGGTGGGAGCTGTCCATCTACCTCTGTTGCAGCCTCCATGGGACTGGCAGCCAGCGGGTTTTCTCTTGTGCTTCCCCCCTCGCAGCATCCAAGTGTTTCACTGCCTCAAGCATGAAGGCACAGGTGGGCGGACGCTGCTCGTGGATGGTTTCTACGCAGCGGAGCAGGTTCTCCAGCAAGCCCCCGATCAGTTTGAGCTGCTCAGCAAGGTGCCCTTGAAGCATGAGTACGTTGAGAACGTGGGAGGATGTCACAACCACATGATTGGAGTTGGGCCAGTCCTCAATGTCTATCCCTGGAACAACGAGCTTTATCTCATCAGGTAATGTTAATGTGAGGCTTTGAGCTTATGGGGAAGAGGGAGGCTTGTGACAGACAGTAGTAGTTTTCCAGAAGATATTTTAAACTGAAAAACAAAGCACTTCTTCAGAAGAGGGGCAGAAACACAAAAAAACCCTGCAGTTCCTCCTGGAACATATGTGGTTTCTTAGAGGAAGAGACAACCACCAACACAGAAACAGATGTCACTGCTGAGCTTTGATTTTGTGCCTGTCACCCTTCCTTCTGTCTGCCACACAGAGGGGCTTAGACTTCTGCCATCCTGTCTCTACCACAAGCTGTGGCCAAAGTTTCCATCTGAAAAGGTACACCTGACTAGAGAAGGTGTGTGGTGCCATGGTGCTGTCCCATGCGATGGGCTCGGCCACTTCTGTTTCCTTCTGCAGCACGCCATAACTGAGGGCATTTGGCACATGAGTCCTCTGTGCTGACAGTTCATCTCCTTCCTGTGCTGTCCCCTCAGCGGAACCTCCCTGGTTATCCCTGCAGCCTCCCTTAAGTAGTGGCTGATGCTCTAGGCTCCCAAGGATCCCCCAGGAATACTTGGCTGTGCTGTGATGCTACAGCCTCACAGACAGTCTCAGTCTCTTCTCTCGTCTTTGCTTCTAGATACAACAACTACGACCGTGCAGTCATCAACACAGTGCCCCACGATGTGGTGCGTCGCTGGTACACGGCTCATCGCACGCTCACCACGGAGCTCAGAAGGCCAGAAAATGAGCTGTGGGTCAAGCTAAAGCCAGGCAAGGTAAGACTTTGGGCTGGGCTGCCCGTACAGGGAGGAGGCAGAGTGCTCTGTTGGCTGTGCAGCACTGTTGCCTCTGGATTGGGTTTGAGCTAAGGCTAATACTTCAGGTGAGTTCCCTGTGCTGCATTACCCCTCTTTTACAGCTATTTTAAGGAGCTTCCTATTACAGTCCTGGCACCTGGTGTGTGTATTTTAATTGCCATGGAAGGAAGTTCACTTCCAGACAAGGTAGAAATAATTCAAAATCAGTCTCAGAGGAAAGTTAGCCAAGCCTGGGAGAGAGAAGGAAGATCTTTCCAGTTAGCAACATGAAGACCCACAGAGGCAAAAAGGCTGGGAGAATGTTCAGCCTCTGACTTCTTTTTCCAGAAATAAAAAAGCTTTATGTATTTATTTTTGAGAGAAGCATAACGAGCACATAAAAAACCTGGATTTATTTCTATTCTGAGGCTGTCATGGCTTTTTCCTTCAGCTGTGCTTGCTTGAAAGGGGCTTTATTCCTATAGAGGTTTAGTTCAGTCTGAAGCCAGAGGCCCTAGAAATGAAGAAGTCCAGCAGGGAAGATGACCAGATCAGAGCCCCTACAGCTCTCTCTTCTCAAGGATGTCTAGGGGACGTGATGGCACAGCCTAAGGAAGGGAGCAGTGACACATTAAAGGCTGACGATGGGCACTTTCTGTTGCTGCTGAACTATCGCTCAGCCTCCCCAGCAGAAAAGCAGCGTCCTCTGAAAGTGCTGAGGAAGCATGACGGTGCCTGCAGTGATGTGCCCCAACTTGCTCATTCAGTCCCAGGGGACCTCCAGCTGCAGGAACTGCCTTGTCAGAGGGGATACCTGATTCTGTTTGCTCTCACCCTCCCCCTCAAACTCGTCGAATTGCTCCCAGTGCAATGGTTGTCCCTCTTCTCTTCCCACGCAGGCTCTCTTCATAGATAACTGGCGCGTCCTGCACGGGCGGGAAGCGTTCACGGGGTATCGCCAGCTCTGCGGCTGCTACCTGACGAGAGATGATGTCCTGAACACGGCGCGCCTGCTGGGGCTGCAAGCCTAGCCCGAGCTACGCGCTGTGGAGAGACAGGAAAACTTCCAGCACTGCTGTGCTCGTGCATTACCGCAACAAAAATGTTGTACATACCTCAAACACCTCCACCCTCTCCAAGCAGTTCTGTGCCCAGCCAGGAGAGGGAGCAGGTGGAAGCCAAAGGTTATGGGAAGTTTATGCGACTGTATTCTGCCTTTGACAGAGCACGGACTGACTTACTGTGCGTGTGCCATGCCTGATCCACCCGGCCCAGTCTGTCTCAGCTCTGCTGAGTCAGAGTTAATCACACTGTAAGGTGGTCAGCACCTGCTGATATGAAGTGCTCTTCTGATCAAGTGCCTTTGGGGTTTGAAATCTTTGGATTTTTTCCTGTTCAGTCTTTGTGTCAGCTGGCATTTCCAAGCTGGGCATAGTAAAACAGAATGGATGTGTTTGGAGTCTTGCCTTACAGTAGGTTAGACTCTGTCCCATCTAGAGAAAATGAAGATCTGTTATCCTTGTTTGAAAAGATGGAAATGCTGCTATTGTAACTGAAGAGTATTGGCATATTTCAATGATTTCTTTCTAAACACACCACATACCCTTATAACACTTGCTGACAAGCCATGGTACTTGAGGGATGATTTGGTTAAAGAAGCTGGTAGGACTGGGATATGTCTGAAAAGGTTCAGACTGGAAGGAAAAGAAGAAGTGGTGAGATCTGAATGGCAGGAAGGAGAGAGGGCCATGTTAAATAAGGGCTGCATTTCCCACATTATGCCTTGACTTCAAGTATTATCATGTTTGTCCAGTGTTCTTCTGCCCATTCCATCGTAAATGCATCGAGGGTGAAGGCTCCGTTCCTCCAGTGTTTGCTTACAGATTTCCTGCTGTGCCTCTTTCACCTTTTTGAAGAAGGAATTTGTTGTGAAGTATCTTGATGCTGGCTGCTAGATAATGTGGATTTTCACCAGATTTTCTTATGCAGAGGCAGTGAACACAAAGGTGCCTTTCAGCTCCAGGTAGCAGGAAGGATGAATTGGAGTGTCTGTCACATTAAAGAGCCACAGTGTAAGCAACAAAAGGAAATCCTTTGTCAATGCTAGAAACCATTGAATTTTAGAACCAAGAGGGAGGTTTAGGGCTTGTTTATTTTTCATTCTTCATCATCTTTGGGGGTGTTCACAGGACTGGTCACTCCTGGCTTTTTCATTCAAGCAAAATACCGTGTGTCAAAGGTGCAGGTACAGTATGGATGCATATGTGCTAACCTTGTTGCCTTCATTTAATCTAAATATTGAATGTATAGATGCTCTTAAAAACTTCTGTTCATGTGATTAAGCTCCCTGACACTGTCTTCTGCAGCATTGCCTGTCTACAGTGAGACTGTAGCAATCACCAGGAGTTGCAAGGGGATTCTGGGACCAGGTTGGGTGTGAAGCTGTTGATCAGTGGATACCTAAGGAAGTGAAACACAAGCAATGACAGCAGGTAAAGAAAGCGGGATGGAGCTGGTTCTTCTCAGCGATGCTTCCCAAGGCCTGTGAGCAAGGAGCTGCTGGAGTACTGGGAGGCTCAGTCCCAGGCAGAAACTCGAGTTTTCCTCTAGGTTGAGCCAAAGGATTTCTTGAGCAGTCTGCAGAATATATTACTTCTGTGGCTTTCCTTATCAAAGAAAACATTGGTTTATAGATTCTTTTTATATGCCATTTATGCCAATATAACATGCATATAAAAGTTTTATAGATCTTCCTTAATCATGTTGAAGTGGCAAAACTTAGCAGTTACATATGCAGTTCCTCATGCTGCTCAACTCAGACACCTGAGTTTTTTCACCCCATGCTCTTTTGCATCGCTGTCCTGAGCTCATAAAATGCCTTCAAAACCAGGGAAAGTACCGGTGGCAAAAAACAGCCTCTGGGATAATTGACATAGAAGGGGGCAAAGGAGCCTCGTCAGTCTTTCAAAAAGCTGGGGAGTGGAGTCCTAAAATTTCTTCAAAAGATCTGGATGAATCAGAGGTTACCGTGTCCTCCTCACCTCCTCATTCTCCCAGGATACTGGGGAAGGGGAGAAGCCATGTGGGTAATGTCACTGATGCTGCCTTCTGCTCAGGGGATCTCCACTCCTGTCAGCTGCAAGGGAGACCTAACCAAAGTTTATAGAAAAGAGATGGAAGTGACATAGGTGTCTTCTGAACGGGCAGCATGTTTGTCTAGCCCTATATAGCTCTGAGCAAAGTGGGTGTGCAGCTGCCAGGGCTGTGGTCTTAAGATCCTCAAATCCTCTTCTGAGCAAACTCCAAGCCAATGCACTCCTCCAGGCTATCTTGTGTTGTGTTTTGGAAGAGTTGTTCACCACGAATGTACAAGCATGTTTCATCCACAGGTGTTACTCAGTTTACTTCAACTATCCAAACAGTAACATGTGGTGTGGAGAAGACTGTTAAATCTGGTGCTCCACCTTTTCCCCACTTCTCAGGTGGACCGAAACCGAAGCAGCTTATGAGTGTTAAAGATTTATCTGCAGAAGCAAGACTTCTTGGCTGTTGCCATCTCCGATATAGGGATCACTGTGCCATATTATGGAGCAGGTTGCTGCTCAGATCCATTTTTGTAATTGAGCTTTGTCAGTTCTTTCAGCCAATAAATGAACTGCTTCCTCCTCCCTCTCTGTATTGTGGAGATTGCGTATATATGTTTCTTTTAGACACCCATACCCAAAAGTTGGGTAGGAAATCATGTGGATGGTAAGATCTTTCAGTAAATGAGCATCACAGATTAAAAAATCTAAATGTTACAAGTCCCTTGTTCTGAAGTCAAGGTTCTCGTTTTTCATTCTTTCATTGGCCACACGATGGCAGAAGACACGAAGAACGATGCAAAGAAGATGCAAAATAAGATCAGGGATTGCTGTTGAAGAACACAGTATGTCACTGTGAGCACTTCTAAAAAGCCATGGGACGTGGTATGAATCATGAACCCCTCTGTGTATCAGGGCGTTCCTCTGCTCCCACCCATGTGTATCCCAGGGGCCACAGGTTGGTTCTCTTTGCTGCTGTGGGCCCTTTCTTGCTATCCTTCTGTGCGCTGAACAGCTCCATCTCCTCCTGCCACGTGCACCCACAGACCTTTGGTCTTGTCGCACAAAAGGGTGAAGATGGGGCCTGTCATGAACCAAAAGGGAACGGAGGACTCTGCATGGCAGAGGGGACTTGAGGGACAGGAGGGGATAAGAGAGCCAGAAGAGGGTCCTGAGACACCATGGGGTGCAAACGCGCTGCGCCACACGGCCAGGCCTGGCACTCGGTCCCCCGAGGAGGGGTGACGTCCTCGGGGTGGCCCCAGCTCCTGCGCTGGGGCCGCGGTGCGGGCGGTGACGCTGCTGCTCGGGGACCTTCCCTGCCCGCCTGCGAACGCGTTCGCTGGGACCTGCCTCTGCCTCGCGGCTCCCACGTCGTGTCGAGCAAGGGCAGCCTGAGCGGGTGTTCAGCCTGGGCATGAACTCGGGTCCGTGCGCTCCTAACTTAGGAACTGCATTCCGCGCTGAGCTTACAAATTAAGTCACCTCCAGCCCATTTAATAACAACCTGCGGAAAAGAGAGGCTGTGAAAAAGGGTCGGGAGATATATCTTGTTCTCTTAATCTTCAAACAATACTTCCCTCAATTATTAACGAGATAAAGTGTCTAAAACACTTCTATAAAAATAATTCTCCATTTGCCATATTGCTTTATTTTTTTTTAGCTAAGCTGAAAAACGTTTTTAGCTTTACTGCTCATTTTCTCATTCGTGATTGCATGACCATACAGGAGTCCCTTTAATAGCCTCCTTGTTTTCTCCACTTGGGTGAGATGAGTTAACTGAGAATTTATTAACTCAGATTAGTGAACTAAGCCCCTTAGCTCAAACAAACAGAAGATCAAACAGTCAGGCATAGGATCTGCACGGAAATGGAGCGATACTAATTTATAGGATAAAAAGGCTGAAGCGAGTTAATACTTGGCAAGTGTCACTTTTTTTTCCGAAAGGGAGGAGACAAAATTCCTTACTATTAACCGCCAGTAGAAGCGGAGGATGTGGACTGATGTTTACATAATGTGAAATATTAATGCTAACTTGCAGACCACACAGAAAAACTTAATGTAGCAGCCTGTCTTGGGGACAGTAAACAAAATGGAAGAAGTAAAGATATTTGTTATGTCTGAGCAACTTACAGAAATGAGAAGTCCCAAGGCTACAGCTTTAGGAGGCGGTTGTCCAGCAGCATGTGTTTAAAAACACAGAGCTATTTCCATAGCTATTTGCAAAAATATTTGAAGGCAGAATGCGTCTTTGTGCACTTGGAAAAAAAATAAAAATGGAGAACTGTATTTAAAGCTATATCTTAAAGCATTACATATTGTACCAATTCATCTCAATTAAATGTTATGTTTACAGCTCGACTGAGATTATCCTCTTCAAAGCACACAGAGAAAGAGGCAATTACTTCAGTTACTGCCTACATGATTTACTATTGCAATCAGTTTCCAGTACATCTCACAATGAAAAACACAACAGCTAAGCCCAAACAAAAGAAAAAATCCTGTTTTTCTCACAGTTAGTGAGAAACCTGCTTCCCTAATAAAAGGGGAAGCTGCATTATGCTTTTGCAGAAATAAAAAGGTAGGATATTAGCAATAGCCTGTCAATCTTTATAGGAAAAGAGGAAACGGCCCTAAACAACACTAGTTCCTACTGTTACATTTATTACTATTATTCACAGCTGCAGTCCTGTACGTTGTACAGAATGCTGTAATTTTTTCTTTTTGGCAAACATTTGGTGTGTGACTCTGCTCAGCCCAAGTGATTCAGAGAATCTGATATTTATATAAACAGAATATTCCATGGAAATTCCCAAAGATTTTAATATTCACATCCTGCTTCCAAAATGACACAATCCTTTATTGACACGTATTATTCCTGGTGAGATCATCTGCACTGATTCATGCACAGCACTTTGTAACTGCATTATATTTTCTTCTTATCACCAATCCTGCTACTTGCACATCCTTG